GTCTGCTCTGTCCCCTAGGCCCCCGCCCCGGCTGACCCACTTGGCCCTGGTTCCTTGAAGCCCCTGCAGCCGGGTTCCCTGGGCCCTGGTACTCTAGCCATCCTTAAGGCTTAACCCCTTCCTGCCTGCACTGTAGCCAGGGAACAGGAGGTGGCTGGGTTATGCTGGTGGCCAGCAGCAGCCTGGGGATGTTATCTGCCTTTCCACACTGTGTAGGCAGGAAGGGACAAGCTGCTTCCAGCCATGGGGGATTGGGGAAGGGGAGGGAGGGATGAGATCACCTTTCAAGTACACAGGCCAGGTCATCCCTACCCCCATCCCCCCTCCCTGCACCTCCTCCCTCCCATAAAGTGCTGAGAGGCTGCACTGGCCATGCTCTGGTGTGAAAACTGACAAATTTATGACCTAGGTGCCCCCACATGTTGCCTTGAGAAGACACAGTACCGGCTACCAGGAGAGGCAAGTCTGTCCCAGGAGCCCAGCCAGGCATGGAGGGTGGAGAGTACTGGGCAGGTCAGTCACCTCCCTCCCTGCGTGAGAGAGCTGAATGGGAATGTGTGTGTGTGTCACAGCTTCCCGTGCATACCCTGTGCAAAGATAAGAAAGTAAATAGAAAAGACTCCAGCAACACTGTATTTCTTTTTAACAGGGGCTCAGCCAACCTGATGTTAATTAGACCATTTGTACTGCAGAGTTCTGATTGATTGCCATTGAACTTGCCTCAATATGAGTAATTTTACCAGGTGTTCTGTATTCAGCATAAGAAAACAGGGTCACCTTACACATTCCTTTACAGATATGGGTCATTTGGCCTGGGATTGTTTAACCGTTTCTGGCCATGTGCCCTGCTTGGCACAAGTTTTGTGGCAGCTATGGAACAGTGGCCACCTTTTAATCAGATAATGTCACAGTCCCTGCCTGACAATTCCCTCTACATAAGGGCATTCAGGATTAGCACAGAAATAGTGTTGCAGACTCTATGCTCCACCTCCAACCAACCATGGGAGGCGTGGCCGGGGAAATGGAGAGGGATAAAGAACACCAGGACTCCACTGGTCCCTCTCTGCTGGGTCACCCCTGTGGGCACTGGGAGCAAGTGAAGGCAAACAAATGGTCCTGTCCATATGTGTCACATGCACAGCTGGGTCTAATTTCTGCTCCCGTCTTTATACCAGCTCTAGCAGACTGTACAGGACTCCTCTGCCACTCAAAACCCAAAGCCTCATAAAACACATCTCACAAGCAAGCAAGCCATTTGTACAGCCGGAGAAATTCTGTATTTGATGAAGCCCGCTCCAGATGTTGAAAGGAGCCCATCAATGAGCTCCATTCAGTGTAGAGAAACAAAAGCTGCTAAATAGCCTCCCTCCCATCTGTGTTAGTTTTGCAGCCTTCCGCGGTCCAGGGGAGTGAGTCAGAGAGACCTGAATGATCGGCGCATTCATCTTCTTGCCAGCTTGTTCATTGAGCAGGTTGGTCTGCAAATGGCAACTCAGTGACTCCACAGGCTAGTCCAGGGCCAACATGCTTTTCTCATTTGCCCACGAAGCCTGTTGCATCTTTTGCAAAGGCTTCCTGTTGGAAGCCCTCAAGCCATCTTGCGGACAGGAAGAGTGTCAGAGACCCAAAGACAGGCATTAGCCAAACCTATTTCAGACCTGTGCTTCTGCCTGTGGGAATCCTGCTCTAGTGCCATTGTCATCTCAGACACCAAGAGCTGGGTAGAAGGACAAATGTATTGTAGTCAAGCAACTGGGGATGGGGGGGTTGTGATCTAAAGTTTGGGTCACAGTGGGGATCCAGGACAGCTCTCGTTATAGGGAGGACTGGAAACAGAATATCGTGGTGATTGCTATTGATGTAGGCAGGTTCTAATTTTCAAGGAAACTAAAAGGAGTTAGGTGCACATCTTTGGTTGAACTGCAGTGTGAGCTGGGTGCCTAAGGCCTGCAGAAGTCTTTGAAAATCTCAGCCCTATGGCACTGTAAGAGCACAATGTGTGAAAGGCATCCAGCCAATAAGCCGGCCCTGCCCCACAGAGCCCCAACTTTGCAGGGCAAGACAAACACCATGGGAGTGGGGAGGGATGCCTCAGGACCGGCGGGCAATCAGGTGGTTTTGGGAAGAGAAGAGGGATGTTGATTTGTCAGTGTGATTGGGAAACTGTCCCGAGTGCAAGGGGTAGAATGAAAGCAGGTGCACCTGGCATGGGAAAAACAGGAGGGGAGAGAGAGAGAGAGCAAACGTGGCTGTAGCTGGGATAGTCTGGCTCTAACAGGCCTTGATGTTAATTTTCTGCTGGGCTTTTTCACATGGGAAACCACTGAACTGAAGGGAGATTTCAGGAGAGATTGGAACTGACATTTGGTTGGAATTTGGCAATAGTTAAAGAGCAGAGCTGGGTTTCAGCACACAGAGAAAACCTGGAACAATCACCATTGAAATTACAATCCCAGTGCAAAGTAGTCTGAGCTACCTTCCCTCCCCACCGCCGCTCAGCAGGGATGTGCAATGGGGCAGCCCGGGCTAGCCATCACACACTGTGGGGGGTCACACTGTGAAGCTCAGGAGGCCACACTCTGTGGCCACCACAGCATTGCCATAGATGCACTGGGGGACTGGGCTTCCCCAGTTCTGCTCCTCTCCTGCTTCTTGTGTCTGACTCCCAGCACCATCTCCCTGTCTCCCCCTATTGGGTTGTGCTCCTCTCCCCCAGCTACCAAAACCTGCAGCTTTCCAACCCCCTCCAGGGATAAGTTCCCCAACACCCCTGCTTGACTCCCTTCGTAGCATCCGAGCCTCCTACATTTTCCAGGAGAAGCTCCCCTAAAGCCGTCTGAGAAAAGGGAAGTGGGGTGTCTAGCGTCTGCTTTGGTAAGACAGGGTTTAAAGAGCCAGTTCAATATTGATGTGTAATTGTCTCTTTATCTGGGCTTATGACCAGCATTCCCTGTAAGCCGAGCGCTTGGCGGCCACTCAGGAGACACTCAAATGCCGCCCCGCGGATTAGCACAAAGCCCACAGCATGTGTTTCTACAGGTGGTGCACATCTGCACATGCTTCGATGCACATAGCTACATTTATGGAAAAAATCAGAGGGAACACTGCTTGTGACCCCTTACAGCCCTGGCCCCTGCACACCCTTTTAAGCACTGCCTGATCCTTGCCCCAACTACCAAACCCTAGAGCATGTGTCCATGGCAAGAGGTCTCCCACAACTCCCTTACCCAAGACCCATCAAACAGCCCCCTAGAAACCAGTCACCTGGGTACAAGGCTGTGTTCTGTGTGAAGGCTGAGTGATGACCAGCCACAGGGAGAGGCATCTGAGGCCTGAGACAAAACCCCTGGGAAGAACTAGTCAGCCTTCCACAGAAACACAGCTGATGCTGTCTGCGAGTACCTGCAGCCTGCTGCCAGGCATTTGCAGGCTCTGTCTTGCTGCTCTCAGCAGGGGTCTCCCGGCTGTCGGAGGCTTTTCCAAATGGACTAAACTAGGCTTCAGCAAATTCCTTCTTTCCTGCTTTCTGAGGGGAGCTTTGCAGATAGGGAGGCAGAACTGACAAGCCACCGGGTTCAAAGGCAATCTCCAGCAGCAGGGGGCAGCTATCTTAGCCCTGTCACGGAGCAGGGACATCAGAGTCCCTGCTGCCTCTCTGGAAGAGCCCCCTTCTGCTGCTGTAACAATGCCATAAAGTCATGTCCCTGCTGGCACACGGGTTCTTTTATGGAGCTCTCACCAAACCTTGTTTGGGGTATGTAAACATGAAGTGAGAACTGATCTGTCAGCAGACAAACTAAGATTAGTAAGAGCATGGCCCTTGCCCAGGGCAGCCAGCAGCTGACAACTCACCCTGCAAACTCAACTAGCAGCACATGGGGAACATCACGACTAGCCTCCATTCACCTACCCCTCGCATACTGCTGCTGCTCTGCTGCTTCCTGATGTTGCTTTGCTTATGCAGCCTAGCCCAGTAGCCCCTGATCTTCTTCAGTCCTGGGATTCCTACAGAGAATACAGCTACCTGCTGGCGTTGGGCCCAGGGCTCTGCAGAGAGCTGGGAGGTGATGCTGAGTCCTCCTTGTCAAGCTGTCCTGCAGAGGCTCAGGAGCATGAGTCCCAACCTCATGGCTGACTGGTAAGACGCAGGGTACAAACTCCAAATGGGCGGTGAGTGCCACGCTAAGGCCTTGTCTACACTTACTGGGAGATTGGCGTTGTGGGGATCAATCTCCTGGGGGGTGGATTTAGCGAGTCTAGTAAAGACCCACTAAATCTACCGTTGATCACGCTCCCATCAACTCTGATACTCCACCAGGTCGAGAAGAGAAAGGAGAGTCGATGGGACAGTTTCTCCCTCTGACCCCCTACAGTGGGGATGCTGCAGTAATTCAAACTAAGATACATCGACCTCAGCTACACTATTCAAATAGTTGGAGTTGCATAGCTTAGGTTGACATTGCCCCGAGTGTAGACCTGGCCTTACATTTCACCTATCAAGTGTGAATGCCTCAGGCCCTATAACAGCCTTAACATGAAGTCACTAGCAATCCCTCTGGTACTTTGCTTTATCTTTCTACCCAGGTAAACTTACCTTTTGTGACAGGTGGTTCCTCATACCAAGAATCACAGTCATAGCCCAGTCCCAAAGGACGGATTACTTACCCCAGGTCAATGGCACTTAGATCTCACACCAGAGATAATGCTTGTAGCCAGTCCTATAATTCAGCGTACACAGATTAAATAGGGAAAGTAAATAAAAGAGTTATTTATCATGTTAAAGCACAAATGATACACAGACACACAAATGAGTTACAATTTTCCTTCTCTTGCTCTGCCCCCACACCACCCTTTCCCCCAAACCCTGCTCCAACCTTGCCCCATCTCTTTCCACCCCTGTTCCGCTCCACACCAGGCCTGCCAGTAATCCCCCACATTGCTCTGGGCCCTGTGGGCTAACATCAGTGTGGGGGACTGTCCCTTCCATAGGATGGTTGGGATGGCCACCAAGAGGACCCCAAGGCATGGGACCCGGGGCAGCTGCCCCAACTGCCCTATGGATGGGTCAGCTCCGCTTCTATAATAAGCAAGCTGTATATATCCTTTAGGGCTACTAACCCAGGTGAAGCACTGGGGTTCTTTTGATTATATCTAGAAAACACCTCCTAGAGTCCAAGCAGCATAGAGATACCATTCCTTCTGGGGAGGGGTTTTCACTTCCTTCCCTACATGTGCCCTGAGTTCCAAATTCAGCTAATGGGAGGAATCCACTTTCCTGACTGAGCTCCAGCTGTAAGCAGTGTACCATGCTGCCTCTGGCATTAAGGCCCCCATAATTCTTTTTAAACACAGAGGACTCTTCCTCTGTGGATTGGGTATTACAATACCTGCATTTTGCTCTCTAGTCTTTGACCTCTTTAATGTTCCACAATGGTCCGCCTGGTGTCAATGGGCCTTCCTTGTTGGCTAATATGCAGCACTTCTGTGGGAGATCAGCACGTCACACTGCTTAACATCTCTTTCCCGTCTGGTGAGTTTGTTACACAGTGACAGGGGCTTACAATACAAATGCTTAATTATTACCTTACAATATGGGAGACAGATGCTGTAAGGAGATTAATGCAGGCAGCAACTCACAAGCACCAATACAGTCTAAATACTACACCCATTATTATAATTCTAATACCTATTTTAACAATAGGTCAGGAAGGAATTTTCCCTCCAAGTCAGATTGGAAAAGATCCAAGGGGGCTGATCACCTGCAGGTGTAAACTAGTGTAGATGGAGGGTTCTCTGTAACTCGCAGTCTTTAAACTATCATGAGTGGATGCATCCAGAGGTTAGGGTCTGTTATAGGCACAAATGGCCTGCGATGTGCAGGAGGCCAGACTAGATGAGAATGCTGGTCCCTTCTAGCCTTAAAGTCCATGAGTCTATAACAAAACTGCCACAGAGGTGAGCCAGACTGGATACAGTTATGTATTTGCCAGTGTTCATTTGAGACATGGGGACTCTGGCATGAGCTGCCACCTGGTCTGCCAGTGTCATATTCCTTCCCTGCATCTTCTTCTTCACCAGCAGTTGTTCTGCTGCTCCTTTCACAAAGGAAACTTGGGGGTAGGGATCTTTGCTGGGCTAGCAGTACACTGGGCTCTCATCCTCTCTTCCCCCTCCCTGCTCTGCTTCCCCTTTGCTTTTTTCATTTTGTGGGCAGTGACAGTGGCAAGGAGAAGTGGCCACGGAGTCTGAATTCCCTTCTCCCCCAGATGCAGTGTCTCTAGCTCCAATGAGCTCAGAGGCAGAGAAAGCGATGGGTGGGAAAGCTAGTTCAACCTTTGCACTCAGGGTGCCTTTATCCTGCAGGTATTCATCCACAAGGGACATCTTTCACCAGCTCTGAATCCCCTGAAAATTTGCTGTAGGAGAGGAGAAGTGGCCACGGAGTCTGAATTCCCTTCTCCCCCAGATGCAGTGTCTCTAGCTCCAATGAGCTCAGAGGCAGAGAAAGCGATGGGTGGGAAAGCTAGTTCAACCTTTGCACTCAGGGTGCCTTTATCCTGCAGGTATTCATCCACAAGGGACATCTTTCACCAGCTCTGAATCCCCTGAAAATTTGCTGTAGGAGGCGCAAGTGAGGGTTGAAGACAAAATCTACTTGGAGTTTGTGCTCTGGGAGGCTCCATTAATCTTCAGACTGTAACGGAATCTGTTTGCAGACATACAGTCAAGCTCCAAGTTAATTGGAGGCAACCCTGGAAGAGAAGATAGCAGCTTATTGAAAACATAAAACCACTGGGGCATTTCCCACTTGCCAAATATCAGGATCAGAGACAATTAACTAGCAATTAATAATCTTTGAAATATCAGACTGCATCATCACAGATAGGCATCCTTAGGCTATGAACAGACTAACTGGGTGAGGAGAGGTGAGATTTTCATTGCTTGCACCTGGAGTCATACGAACATTGCCTGGGGATATTCCATAGGCCTACAGACAGAGCTGAGCAAATAGCTGATTTTGCAGCTGGGGGGGGAGGGGGTTCAATCTGCAGAAATGCTTGTGACTTAGAAACCCAATTTCATTGACATCAATGGAACTCAGAGCTCCTAAGTTCCTCCATCCCCTTTTGAAAATGGAAGTCAAGACTTCTAAAACACTCAAGAACTGCTTTTGACAATTTTACTCCTAGTCTCTTATTTTGATGCCTAAGTGGGAGCCATGAGCTTTCAAAGATACTGGCGGGCTCCCTTCCTTGCTCCCCACTGCAAGAAAGAACAAATGAGAGAGGTAGACTGAATGGAGAGTAGATGTAGACTTTGCAATCAACATATTTCTCAAACGAGATAAAACGCTTGTGGCAATAAAGGCAATGAAAGATACATGATTGTTATTACTGTAAGCAAGGAAGTGCAGTAAGTATCTAGGGATGTCATGCATTTGGAACTAGAAGAGGAAGAATACAAAATGGTTCAGACTTTGGAAAAGTTTATGGCCCTGTGATCCATATTACAGCTATTGTCAGTTGCCAGGACCAATCATGTCCCATGCCCATCGCATCTCAGTATTTTTACTACAAGAAGAGATATATCATTGCTGCTAGCAGACTCTCTGCCTCTCCTAGACAACCCGGACGAGAGAGCCTGAATGGATGTATTGATGGCCTCTCCTGTGGTTTCTGGTAATACTCTGATTTCTCTGCGTTAACCGATCTCCTTGCAACTGACCACTAAGCGCAATGCGATCCATCATCTTCATCATCATCGTCATCACACTGAAGGCACCTTACATGGCCCAAAGCACTGGGGCAGGCCAGAGAGGAGCCAGCAGGGTTGTGTGGTGAAGGCTCCAGCACTTATTAAGGTTTGTGGCTTTTTCCAGCTTATTTCCATTTCCTGGCTAGTGATGCTTGCGGGATTTCCATTTATTTATGGTAATCAATCCTTGCAGCGTTGATGTTTCAAGGTCACCTTGGAGGCTTCAATGCACTTAGTCCTAGCCAAGGTTTAAATTCCCAAAGACTATTTCCCAGAGCCCCCCTGGTGGGAGGTGCTGTGACTTGGGGCCTCAGCCAGTTTAAATATATGTACTGGAGCTCCACTCTAGACAGTGCTAGCTGAATTTAAACCCTAGTTCTGGCCCTATTGAGTTTTGCCACTGACGTCAGTGGAACCAGGGCTTGATCTCTGTCAGCTTGGAAGGATGGCTGGGTGAGGGGTAAGCTAGTGCACTAAGAGTCAGGCGACCTGGGCGCTGTCCCTGGCTCCACCACAGGTACTCTGTGTGACTGAGGACAAGCCCATTGTGTGGCTATTTGCCTCTTTCACGCATTTCTGCACTTACAGATGGGGCATTAAACTCAGGGCCTGAAGAAGGCAGCTCACTGTGCAAGGCCTGAAATATGCTGTCTTCGGCAAGCTGCAGTTTCACAGCCTGGCACATGGGATGCCTCCTGTCTACACCCCCAAGAGACAATGAAGCAAGTCTAGATGATGGCCCGGGGAGAAACAAGTCTGTCAGCAGGCAGCAGATGGTGGGAGAAGTGCAGATTTTTTTTTCCAGAGTGACTCCCCATCATTACAGAGTGCAAGCAGTCCCTTGTGGAAAAGGCTCCCAGCAACACAAGGAGGGCACACTGGTCTGTTGGTACACAGCCCAGCTGTTGCAAGCTGAGAACACTAACAAATGCCACCTCTGCTTCTGCCCTAATTTAGCTTTCTTCAACAGAAAGGGACTATTATTTACACCTCGATCAGTGTTTCCCAATTGGTGCTCCACGGAACCCTGGGGAACAAAACTAGGGGTTCCGCGAGGAGCCGGCAACCGAGGCTAGACTCAAGGGGAGGAAGGGGCAGGGAATCAGCTCTTGGCTCAGCAGTTTTGCAGGGCTTGGGAGAGGTGCAGGGAAACGGGGCTCAGCTGTGCTGTGGGGGAGGCATGCAGGGAACCAGAGCAGGGCTCAGCTGGGCTGAGGTGGATGGGGGAGGGCATACAGAACAGACGAGCGGCTCAGCTGGGCTGTGAGGGACTGCAGGGAACTGATGCTGAACTTCCTTGGATTGTGGGGGATGGTTTTGGGGGAGGTGCAGGGAACCAGCAGGGGTGGGCAGATCAGTTGGGTTGCAGGGGATAGAGGTGCAAAGAAACCTAGTGGGGAAGGGGTGGGGGAAACCAGAAGCCCTGAAATGACCTCCCCCGGTCCAAAAATTCCTCATCTGGGACCAGTCAGGTCCAGAGGGTGCCAGATCAGGGAGGTCCAATTCCTACCCAAGTTCCCACCTTGCACCCTCCCTCGTAGCCAGACACCCTTCCCCCAATCTGTTCCTGCTCCTGCACCCTCCCCCTGGCCAAACACCCTACATGTGTGGCCCCAAATGACTTTTCAGTGGGTCAGCGACCTTAGACTCAAAACAGGTTCCTCACCCCTCTCATATATAAGGACAATGCTAAAACCTTTTGACTGTGTCTACACTGGGCCACTTATTCCGGAAAAGCAGCCGCTTTTCCGAAATAAGCTGCGAGCTGTCTACACTGGCTGCTTGCTTTTCTGGAAAAGCAATGATGATCTACTGTAAAATTGTCAGTGTTTTTCCAGAAAAACTATGCTGCTCCCGTTCAGGCAAACGTCCTTTTCCGGAAAAACTGTTCTGGAAAAGGGCCAGTGTAGACAGCACAGTAGTCTTTTCCGCAAAAAAGCCCCGATCGCGAAAATGACAATCTGGGCTTTTTTCCGGAAAAGCATGTCTACATTGGCACGGACGCTTTTCCGGAAAAAGTGCTTTTCCGGAAAAGCATCCTGCCAACGTAGACATGCTTTTTCCGGAAATACTTATAATGGAAAACTGCTCCGTTTTAAGCATTTCCGGAAAATCATGCCAGTGTAGACGTA